TTTCAGGCATTTTTAATATTTGTAATTATAATTCATTTTGTTAGTTAATAAGTCATAAATATTGTTGCGAAGATACAATTCGATTTAAGTTAACTGAGATAATTTTGAATTATGTCAGTTAGTTAGTAAATAAGTTTTTAAATGTTGTTGGTTATTTTGAGGAATAAAGTGTGTGTGTTTAAAATATAAGTAACGGTTATAATTAATACAAGTTTAACATTATTCACTTATCAGGATCTAGTGTTATCGAAGGAAGCGTGGGAATAATCGTAACAATATATTGTAAAAAATAAAAGTAAATAATAAATAAATTATGCTAAAAATAGCCCGTTACAAAGAAATACCGGCCCGTGAGCTATCAACGGTGAATAGGTTCATTACAATACAAAACAACGTCAAAAAATACAGTAGACAATGTCAGGAGTAATAAACTAAGATGTAAGTTCCCCAATGTACCTTGACTGTCTCAAAAAAATTCAAAACTTTTCAAAGAAGAGGAAACAATTAATATTGTACTTTACAACTTGAAAACAACAAAGAATTTATTCTTAAAGATTAAGGACAAAGAAACGAAAGAAAATTTATCAAATCTTATATATAAGATCAATTGGAAAAAAAAACCAAAGATTGACAAAAAGAGTAGGTGAACATAAAAGTACATGTAAACGTAAAGATGATGGGAAAGAAACATCTCTTTCTGAACGTTCTCATTCCAATGAACATAATTTCAACTTTGATAGGGTAATAATTCTTGAAATTACAAAATAGTTATCAAAAAATATTAATGAATGAAGTTATTCACATTAAATAATGAATAGGTGGTAAACTCCAAGAGAGCACACTTTACTCTAATTTACTTGATAAATACCACTTGATCAGAAATAGGAGATGAAAACAATAAAATTTAGCCGATTGGTTTATATTAATTGAGAAATATGAACAGAAAAAAGAGAACGTTTTGATTTTTGGCGCAATATTACCATATTGTTTCAGTTTTGTTATATATGTCCAAAAAATTTGTTGTCGAGTTTCAATTTGTGATTTTTAAATTTTTAAGTTGTTCATTTAATTTTTATTATGCATTGTAAAGATTAAGCTATTTATCCTTCTATGTGTTATTTTAAAGTTAAATTAATTTATGTAATTATAGCACTGATGAAGTTCTTAAATAAAGAACGAAATATTCACGAATATCTTTAAATAAATGCGTTTTATTGTTCGTGTCTTATACCTGATAAAAATTTAAACAACAATAAAAAACAGGCCGTACGTGAGTTCCCTTTACCTAAAACCTTTAAGTAGTTGCGGCAGTATCTAGAAATGATAAACATCTACCCTCAACAGCAAAAACGACAAAACAGCAATCACCTGGTCGCCTGATGACGTGGTGGCATTCCAGTAGTAACGGTTACGACAGATGCTTCAGGAGATGCAGTTGGTTACTTGGAGAAATTGAGTTCAGCTCAAGTGCAATACAGCGTTAATGTCTAGAATTGACAGCGATTTATCAAGCGGTCTAATATTTCCGATATGAGTTGAAAGCTCGCGAGAAAAAACCACCCGCATCTGTGTTCCAGCAAGCAAGTGAGAACGCATCTCCTAGACGAGCAAGACGAATTGAACTTGTTAGACAATATTCTACCAATATTCGTGACGTGGCTGGAGCTGATAACGTGGTAGCAGATTACCTTTCTCGAACTCCAGCAGTCCAGTGTGAAGCGAAGTGGAAAGAATTGAGGTTGACCAAGAAACAGACCCGGAACTGCACGAATGATTAAACGTCCAGTCCAGAAAAATGTTGTTATTGAAGAAGTGGAAACTATTAAATTCAGCTAAATTGTTGAACTATACTATTTTCGGCACTCTCATTCGCCCATATGTCCCATAAAATTGCAGGCAGCAGGCATTGTCCAAGCTTCACTTAGAGCAACCCGCAAAATCATCCAAGCAAAATACGTGTGGCCTGGTATACAGTATTTTTCGTCCGAAAAATTTAAGGTCCAACTCCATACCCGTACTCCTATAAGTTCTTTTGTAGCGGTCGATGGCCGATTTCAAAACATTCACATCGATATAGTGTGCCCATTGTTACCGTCGCAAGAGAAGCATCGATCGTTTTTCGCGTTGGCCAGTGGCCATTTGTTTAATGGGCATTACAGCAGAAGAAGAGGCAGCAGCACTCATTGATGGTTGGGTTGCACATTATGGCACGCCACAACAGTCACAACTGACCTACGACGTCAATTTGATTCTACTGTATTCACGGAGGTGACGACACCTGCCACCTGCCACCCTCAAGCCAATGACATGGTGGAGCGGTTCCATAGAACACTGAAAGCAGCTATACGTTGTCATGGTTCCAGTAATTTTGGGTTTTAGAACCAAGCGAAACAAACTTTATGAAGTCACTGCCCAATAACATGGGTAATTTACAAACTTAACCTGGACTGTGATATGGTCAACAACTGGTCTTTGTTCCAAACGAGCTGTCAAGCGGTAAGTACGTGTTCCTAAACACCGACCGCGTTCAAACATTGTTCGAGCAGCCTTACGAGGGTCCTTACACAGTGGTCCATTGCAATGAGAAAAACTACGTCATAAGCGTAAAAGATAACGATGTCACAGTAGCAGCAGGCAGGCTAAAACCAGCATTCCTGACTTTAAATGACAATGACAGCAGCGGAGCAGCTAAAGCTCTGTCATTTAAGAAACTGCCTTCTGCCGAAGCACCAGTAGCTGAGCCCGTCCTCAGAGACCAACGAGAAGTCAGACATAAGTTGCACGCACAGGTGAAATCCTTGCTAATGATATCAAGAAAAAATTAAGTGATCAATACATCGTTGAAACTACTTTACTGCGTAATCCCAAACTGTTAATTTTAGGAATGAGTAACAGATAGATGGCAATAGTTAACTTCTCGCAATAAGAAATCAAAATAGTGTCTCGTTCCAACACCTAAAAGGTTTAAAAGTATACAAAGCTTACAACAAAAAAAGAAAACATTTAACGCTATAATATTTATTTTGCAATTTGAAATATACATACTTGAAAATGAATTGCGATTTGCTAATTTCATAAGTTGATGAGAATGAGGCTATATGAGAATTTTAATTATTGTTATTCAATATTCTATTATTTTTTTACATTCTTAATTATTAGTCAAAAAATAATTGTTATAATTTATTAAGAAAAAATATTATAATTTGCTGTTAGAAAATTATAGAATATGTGTTTTAAAAATGAAGTTGATGTACTCCTATCATATTTATAATTTTATTTACATGTGTACATGATATCAATTCATATTACGCAACAAACATATACAATGTTTGTTCGACAATGCATTAAAGAGCTCCGACTTAACATCTGTCAATCGTTATTTTCTTGGGTGCACCTCAAGGTAATCAGACATGCGAAGAAGTTCGCTGCCACCGCACAACAATGCTATCGGTCAATCGTTGTAAGCAATGGCGACGCGTGTTCTATCTGGAAGGGTGTACGGCCCTTCTTTAATGTTGTTTTTACATGTACCACTTAAATTAAAATATATGAGATGTTTTATTAATAATAACTATATTATATTAGGCAACAATATATTCGTAATATTATATTAACAATTCATTAACAAAATAACATATTAAACAAATTAAATTAAAAATATATATAGAAGTTTAATATTATATCAATATGGAAGAAACAAAACTTTTCACATAATTCTCGTAACATCAAACCAACTTTTTTCAAGCAAAAGAATTTGTACTTGGAAACATACATGTTTATGCAGTGATCAAACAAAGTCGAACCCAATTACAACGTACAAATGTGCGGACAAGTACCCCGCACAGTAGGCGACAGAAATTCGTGTGTGCTACTGTTAAAAGGAGAGAGACGAAATGTGATCGAAATGTATGGTGAGATGAGCTGCAAACTTCAGCCGCTCATGCAATCACTTTGGCAAATCATCATGTTGGATTCGTATGCATGCAGTTGATATTTGGAATAGAACAGAAAATTACTCTCATACAATTCCCACTATATAAATCTCTATTTCTGATATTACGAACGGGAGCACACGCGCATTATTTTGTTCATATGCAACGTATGAATGTGCGGCCAACTTCTTTGCACACAAAGGGGAGAGATGAAATATAATAGAAATGTTCTGTGATTTGAGCTGTTAATATATGTGCACAACTAACAAGTATAGCGGCTAACAGAAGCAAATTGATTGAGTTTTCATAGACAATTATATTAAATTGTTTTTGCTAAAACTTTAAGAATATATATATGGAAATGTAATAAATAATAATAATTTTTGATGTGAAGATACTTGATAAATTTATATACCTATGTTATTTGACATTTTGCAAATTATGTTAGGGTGTTCACCGCACACCTCCGCACCTTAGAGCAATCGTCACTGGTTGTAAGTGCATATATAAAAATCATATATTTTGGTAGCATTACAATGTCAATGTGCTCATGTTTAAAACGTTTCAAATGCTTACCGCACCAATTTGTTATGTCTGTCCACTTGCGTTTGTTGTTATTTGAGAGGGTCTGTTAGATAATTATGACTAGTAATTGACCAAGCTTTTGACTGCAACAAACAATGTACCAAGTCGAATATTTTCTTCCTAAGTTGTGCTGGGGCGTAAGGTTTGATATTAGGGCGTTTGTTTTAAACGGAGATACTTTGCCCGCTTTCTTGGATAGTAGTTTATGACCAATAAGCACCATAAAGAATGGCCCTTAATGTATTTATCTGAAGTGGTTCATGATAGATCGCCAGCATCAGGTTTTTTGTCGGACGAACTATATTTTACCTGTGTTGCTTTTAATTTAAACGAGAATGCAACGGTTACCACTGGGCAAAAATGAAAATACCTTTCCAACACGGTCAATTAATTATATTCGTTTCTACATGAAAGTATTACGTATTTATTTTAAAGGAAAGATTTTAAGTTATAGTATCAATTTTAATTCTTTTTTAATTTCAGGTGAAATAGTAACAACGGAACTGAAGCTTGATAGAGAAAACCAAGCAGAACATACCATAGAGGTAAATAATAGAGCAAACAACTATAGAGGTAAATAATAGATAAACTATATATATTTATATAGAGGAATGACTTAGATCGTCTTGCCTTAGACCAAAAAATTGACCTTGTTGCGAAAAAAGATTCTAAAAAAATATGCACGATAAATTTTAATAAATAAATATAACAATCAAGTGTAATTTGATTTTATCGTGTGGATGTGTACTTATCGTGTTGGTCACGTTCAGATGTGTTGCTCAATTTGATGCAAATGTTTTACAATTTTATGGTATTTTCTTTTCAATTTCAATCTTCTAATTATGGTGAAAAATGCAAGTGTTAAAACTATCATTTGTTTTTACTATTTAAAGTTTTAAAAATAATTTTTCTTACGAACGTAAAAAAAAATGTCACTCTGTGAAATTTATGGGTACTCTCTGCTATCATATGCTATAGTGAAAAGGTCAGTAATTACACAAAGTGTAATTATCAAACAATGCTGTAAACACTTTAAAAAAGTTAAAAATTTAAGCATTTAACATTTTAAGTGTGAAAATCCAAACCTTCATAGTGGAATCTCAACATTGCACATCTCTGCAAAACTTGCGAAAAACTTTTCAACAGCGTCAAAGGTACAGGAAACTGGGCACCATATAAGGAAAAATAAAGGGAATTCAAATACGCAATTCTGTGGTGGCATAGAAACTTCTTCTGAGTCTAGTTGACTCCGCGTAATTCTCAACTCCGTCCACTAGATCCTTGATTACATTCAGTCTCCAAATGGTTAATGAACCAATTTTAGTAAGGAAACTCTTGAGATCATGCACTTTCCAGGGAGTGTAGTCTCTAATGTTCTAGTATCAACACAGGTCGGCGCACCCACTCTCTAACCCTCCGACACTCCCAATCCGTTTGAAGTGATCAATACTTAAATCAAGTAGGCCTTTGAACCTTATAAATCTCCAGATTCGGACGGCATTCTTTCCGCTGATATTCAACAGGGTGAATATGTCATACTTTACTTTCCTCTTAACAAATACAGCAATAGTTTTTATATGCTATACATCTATGAGTATAGCTGCTTAAAAATCACTCAACTAGTATTTATGCACAAAGCAGAAAGAACAGTACACTCCAGCCCCAAGGACTATAGACCAATTAGTCTGTCTTCCTTTCTTCTGAAAGTAATTGAAAGTGTTCTTCCAGCACTTTTCTCTGCATCGGCTTTAGTATATTTTCTAGAAAATAAGTTATCAGCTTTTCGCTTTGACTTCCAATCCATTGCAGTGTTTTCCAGGCAGAGTTAATGGTAATTATGCGGTATATTGGGTACTTGGCAATCAAATCCTTGATAGTTCTATTTTTATTTTCTCGAATAGCAAAGCTACCATTAAGTCACTGATGGGCACTTCAGCCACATCAATTATAACTCAAAATTGCCGAGCTTTCCTCAATAAGATAGTTAGATGTCTCAGGGTCCAATTCATTTACTTCTTAGATATAGGTGTTTCACTTGCTATAGTTGAACTGGCAATTAAACAAAAATACCTGAGCACAGATATCGGACAATATCTGACAGTCTTTACCTTTTTTGACGTTGGTTGTATACTGATCTTTCAGACTGTGTACATACCAACCCTATTCCTGTGGTACCACAATGGGTCAACCTACTCACCTACTACTCTCAAAAAAATTACGTTCCGCCAATAGTTAAAAAGGAAAAAATTTCGTTTTGTTAAGATAATGTGATACTTTTACAGTTATCAATCCTTAATGTCTCTAGTTGAGTTTTACATTGTTTACCCAATCCTTTATAAATCTGATTAATAAAATTGAAGTGGTTGTTATAGTGTAAGAAAACGTGTTAAAAACGTGTTAAAAACACGCAGACTAATAAAACCTGCTACAAACGTCGAGCTGAACTTTACTTTATTTATATATTCAACAATAAATTTATAAAATATTTCACATATGTATATTAAAAAAACCAATATAATACAAAAATTTCATTTAATTTTTTAACTTTTTGCTTGCCCAAAATAAACGTAACAACCCAAGACAGTAACTAATGTTTGCTGCATTCGGCTTGCAATTTATGTTGACATATTATTATATTGATTATATTAGATATTCTATTGATTTTTTTTCTTTCATTGGTTTATTTATTGAGTATTTCTGAATAGAAATTTACAATAATTTTGTGAATTTAAAAAAACTAACATAACATATATACTGTTGAGCTAGGTTATTCATATTTATTAATAATTTTCTTTTAAGGCGATTTAGTGCAGTTGCAGAGAATACCATAAGTGTCGAATATTAGGATTTACCATAATAATATAATAATAATGACAACAAGATAAACAACAAAAGAAAAGAAAATAAACATTATAAAACACATATACAATAACCTGTATTCTTTGTTTATAATATTCCTATAAGCCTGAGCACAGTTGTCCGTATCCGTTTTATAATTTAGTCTCGTACTATTTGTAATGTTAAGTATTGAAAGCATTTTCAGGAAGTACCTTTAATTTGGTTTCTTTCTTCATGTAAGATCTTTACAGTGCCAAGATCAGGCTCATGTTTGCAGTCAATACAATATATAGCCAATGCTGTACTGGTTTCAGCACTACTTTTATTTCTCATACTATGTTTATGTTCAGCCATCGTTGTCTTAAGTTTGTTCTTGGTTGTACCTATATATATTAGTTGAGTTGCGATTTAGAAGCCAGTATCCACATTAATGATTTTTACTGAAGGCATGATTGTCTCCTTAGAGTAAAAGTTACTTGAACGTATTTAGTTTCATTCACTTTGGATTTCCATTTAGCAAGCCATTCAATCAAACCAAGATGCCTGTATAAATTTTGTGAAGCTATAATGCAGTCACGGTTGGTATATACTGCAGCAGTGTCGTCAGCGAATGTCGGCAGCAAATTGTTTGGGTATTGTGGAATGTCAGTTATATAGATTTAGTATAGAAATGACCCAAGAGCACTATCCTGAGGAACTCCAGCGTTAAAATCGTTCTCTTGCGAGGTAAGAGATTTAAAATTATAATTTAAAATTATTTTAAATAAAAGTTCTTCAAGCCACACTATATAAAATATCTGCGCTGCATCAAGAAAAACTGCTGTACAATATTGGTATGAATGTAAAGCTAAGTGAATTTCGTTAGCGACTTGTTCAAGTGTTCCATGCCCTTTGCGAAAACAAAATGATGATCTGGAATGAAGTTTACACTACAGTTTCATTATTATTGATATTTATTTCATTGTTAATACATAATTCATTTTCATGAATTACATTCTTATTAGATAGTACATTTTCATTATTATTGATATTCATTTCATTGTTAATACATAATTCATTTTTATTTTCAGATTTGTGATATAATTCTTCGATTATATTTTGAGAATTACAATTACTCTTAACATTTTGTATATCTACACTAGAATCTTGGCTACTTAAATCTAATGCTTGAATTTCTTTATCATATTGTGAAAGCTCAACGTTTGTACTTAGCATGTCTGTATTTGAACATGATGGACTGTAACTCCAATCATCTTGAACATCTATTGAACTGTTGTGTGCGACCAGACTTTCTCCTGACCCTGATTTTATCTGATCCAAATGTCTCTTAATGACTCTGTTGTTAGACATAATGCAACAATATGAACGTGGACCCATTTTGTCTTTGATTATTGCAGGAATCCATGATTTTTTATTTACGTTAGAATAGTCACGTACAGATACATTTTGACCTATCACAAATTGTTCATTCCTCATGGTATTAATTGACTTTTTTCCGGACTTGGCAATAGTTTTTGGCAAGGAAGACATGATTTAATTAAATTGTCTATGTCCCTATCGAGTTTTGGCCACCATACAAAGGATCTTGCTAGTGATTTGGTCTTAACTATGCCTAAGTGAGCTTCATATAGTGATTGTAAAATGGATGTCCTAAGCTTCAATGGAATTATAACCAGATACCTTCAGAGTAAGCAATCTTTTCTAAAGTTTTCATGTCTTAAAGTTTTGACTGTTCCTTTTCTTACAGAATCACATACTTTAGAAAGTATTGGATCGCGTCTTGTTTCGCGTGCTATGTCCCTAAAGTCAATGCTTAAAATATTTTCGCCTTGAATATAATTTATAAATGAGCTTCCCTCATCCTGATCGCAATGTTTTGTTTAAGGTATACGCGATAAATTGTCCTCATCATTAGTGTGTCCATTGACATATTCAATTTTATAATTAAAGCCAGATAGTATGAATGCCAATCGTTGCATGCGTGCAGCTGCCATGATTGATGCTATAGATCCTAAAAACTCCAAGTGACACCAGACTAAATTTCAAAAGTGACATAAAACACTGTGCTCAGGTGTATAAAAACACCTTCGACAAATCCGGAAGAGGATAAATATATTTTTCTTATATATATGTTAATTTCATGATTCTTATAGTCAAAGTATTGTATATTTTCCAAATACATATGTATGTTTTATGTTTCAATGGAAATGTAATTTATTATTGTTTCTATGTAATGTATACCTTAATATTAATTACAATGTATTTATATGTATAGTTCCCCGATGATGACTATAGATTATAGTCGAAATATTGGACAATAAAAATCTTATAAAACTAAATAATAAAATTTATTTAATAACTGACCAAATTATTTAACAAAAATAATTATTTTAAATATTTGTTAATTTATGCAATTTTTAACATAAGTTACGACCCCAACGAATAAAAATATCAATTTTTTCAAAATGTGCAACAAAATATTTCAAACAAAATTGTGAAATTCATGTAATTTTTTTCCACCCTTGGGTGCAAGCGCAAAATCGCTCATTTGTTCACATTTGTGCAATCGTAATATTAAAACAGCACACTCGTGTGCGAAGAGAATTTTGTTTCGCACAGTGCGGTGCGATATCACAAATGGTTTTTTTTTTTTTACATGGAGGTTGGGAATCTTCATAGATACTAGGTTCTCGATTAGCATGCACGA